AAAAAAAAAAACAGGGGAAAGGCCACCCAAAGTATAAACAATTCTACTGTTTTCCCACCAGGTATTTGACTTTCATTGTGGTTTGAAGTGAAATGGCCCCCACCTCCGCCATTGCTGCCATGGGTTCAAGTGTTTGAATACTTGGTCCCCAGCTGATGGTGCCCTTTGGGATGGTTGTGGGACCTTGCGGAAGTGGAGCCTCACTGGAGGAAGCCCTGCGGTTTTAAAGCCTGACCCTCACTCCCCGTTGTCACTCTGCCTCTGTACTATAGCTGCAGTGTGACCGGCTGACCTTGCGTCCCTGCTGCCGTGCCGTCCCCACCATGATGGACTACCGTAGCCTTCCGGCACTGAGCCGGGATAAACTCTTCCTCCCGTAGGTTGCTTCCTCCAGGGTTTTGTTTGTATTTTGTTTTTTGTTGTTGTTTTCTTTTTAACACAGTAACAGAAGAGTCACTAACATAACTCAAGCATGGACCTGCCTGCAGGTGCCAGGCAAGTGGCTTGCTTTTATTTTAAAAGGTTTACTTGCTTTGTTCCTAGACAGAGACTTATAAGAAGGGATAGTCCCATGATGTATCCTCTCTTAAAAGGAGCCCCTCCCCCCCAGGTTTTAAGAAGAGAGACAATCTGTTTGGGCAATGGAACTTCCCTGAGCCGATCTCTACTGACCAGCAGAAGGAGACTTCCATGTGCACACGAATGTATCAGTCTATGGAACTCAGGCTCCAACAGTAACATTTGACTTTGAACCTGGCCATCCTCCTCTTTCCCCAAGCAGGGCTTCTCCTTTAACAACAATGACCCAAAGCCTTTGGTGGGAGAGGGGCAGAGTTGCTGTTGGGAAATTTAATTTGCTGTAATCGACCCCTCTTAGCATGCAGAGTTCCACAGTGCGAGGAAAAGAATTAATCTCTCCCAGAAAGAATTGCCTTTTTTTTTTTTTTTTTTTTTTTTTTGCTGTTATGAATCTAATCACTTACGAGACTGGGTTTAGAGGAAGCTCTCAGGAATAAAAACCACCAGATTAGGTTTCAAATGCTACGTGAATAGGGTACTTCATTGAACTGGGGGGGCCTGCAGTCTGAAGAGGCAAGGCAATGCAAATAGAAGCTCTTACATCCTTTGGTTCTTTCAGAGACCCACGACCATGCAAAGAAACGGTTATGGAATGACTGCATCACCATGGGCCTCTTGGGATACCCTGCCCGTATCCCTTTATTCCCAAGACATGCTGCATTCTCCGGAGCAAGCTGTCAGGTCTGCCAATCATCACTGGTGCTCCCTTTACACGGGGGGGGGGGGGGGGGGGGGGGGGGGGGGGGGGGGGGGGGGGGGGGGTGTGTCTTCTCCATACACACTGTTTTATAATCCTCAGAGGTGGGATTTCAGAGCACAGCAGTGCGTTTGCCTTTGACATTCTCCTAAGCAGGATTTATTGCCTCCAAGACAGATGTGACTTGAATCGATTATGCCTTGTAAGCACGCACTCTCCGAGCAGCCTCTGGGTTCTCTGCAAGGCTTCTCTTTCTTTTTCCCAGCTTCCTTCAATGTGTGGTTGATGTCAGAGAAGCTCATCATAATCGAATACTGTTAAGGGCCCGGTACAGACTGGATTAAGACACTTAGGAAGCTCACCAAGTCATGGCATGTAGTTCCTTCTCTGCTTTTGACCCACAAAATATAAACACATAGACTGATCCATTGATATCTCAAATGCAGAACCAAAGGAAGGCTGCGTGTGCAGGTTACATTAACACTCTAGTGATATGCCACTATTGAGTCTGGAATAACAAATAAGTATATCCATCTGTCTTTGGGAGAAAGATACAAAGCAATGTCAAAAATAGATGGAAAATAACTGAATTTCACCTTCCAAAAAATGGGGTGTTTGGTAAAGATTCTTACTAAAAAAGAATGTATTTTTGGATGTCCACTACAAAACTCAAATCTACAGTTTGGAGCTGGAGAGATGCTCAGTACTTAAGAATATTTGCTGCGCTGGCGGAGGATTCAAATTCAATTCCCAAAACCTATGTCATGAGACTCACAACAGCCTGTAACTCCAGTTTCAGAGGATCTGGTGCCCCCTTGAGGCTTTTGAAGGCAGTGTACTTATGTGCATATACCCACATACAGACACACATACACACAACTACAAGTAAAATAAATCTTAAAAGAAAGATAAAGCCACCTATTACCCCAGTCATCCACAAAATGTCATTTCCTCAGGATCATATAAAATTAGTGACATTAAGTTGAAAGAGGACCACCCGAGACTCTGTGCAACCCAAGGGGCTGGGAGGTCTTGATGTTACCCCATTTCAGCAAAACTTTCAGAAAGTTAGTGTGTTTGTTTGGAAGAAAAACCACAAGGCTGATACCTTGCAACTAAACTAAACACAACACATTTCGTTTGTCCTTTATAAATCTAAAAGACAAGACTTTTAGCTATTTCTGAATAGAAAGAGGCCTGAGGCAAGAGTGTCCCCAGACAGTGCATGATGATACTTGACCAACTTCCTGTGACAGTTTTCCTGGAGACATGGACCCAATCGACCTTGACTGAAGAGAGTGGGGCTAGAGAGGAAGAGCAGTGGAACCCTACTTTACTTTGTTGAAATGAAAACATTCTATTTAACTCTGAAAGGAAAAATAAAAGAAATAAAGAAATATAGAGATGATACATAGATAGACAGATGATAGATGATGATGATGATGATAGATAGATAGATAGATAGATAGATAGATAGATAGATACTGATGGATGGATGGATGCATGGATGGACAAATAGACACATACATAGATAGATAGATAGATAGATAGATAGATAGATAGATAGATAGATACTGATGGATGGATGGATGGATGGATGGATGGATGGATGGATGGATGCACGGATGGACAAATAGATAGACACATAGATAGATAGATAGATAGATAGATAGATAGATAGATAGATAGAGAGAGATAGGAAGGTTATCAGTGTGGTGAAAAATAATCTTAAGCCATGTAAGATGTTTCAGATGGGCATATTTCTCGGGTACAGGGTAGTAATTCACATGGGTACAATGTGTATGACCCAAACTGGGGTAAATAGTATTCCCAGCTTCTTAAGCACGTCCTTGTTCTGGGGCACTACAATCTCCTCTCTTCCATTTCTTAATAAGACTGGTAATGAATTCACCAGGTGTGGTGCTGCATGCCTAAAACCCTAGGAGGACTGCTGTGAGTACAGGGCCTGCCTGGGCTACCAAGTGCTAGCCTTTCTCAAAACACGAAAATAATAACAATAAATGTCCTACGTTGTTATGAACTCTGCTTACCCCACTATGCTGTGGACTCACTCCTCCATGGCCTTCAACTATGGAGCCTGGTTTTCCTTCTGATGGGAAAGAGTGTTAAAAGTTCAGCGCTCTGCATTTGTAAATTCAGATGAGAAAAGAAATGAAGAGGCTTTTATTCTCTGGATTTTGCAAACGAGAACACACACTCTCTCCTTGGGGATTCATTTACACAGTTCCCTGGGCTGCGATGTCAGCTAGTGGATTGGGCCCAGGCACAGAGCAAAGCCGCACTTTCAGGAACAATTTGCTTGCTTTATTCAGTAAGTTGCTCTAAATTTCCCCCTTTTATTCCAAGTCTTAAAATTGGCTGTTGTGGCTTTAGAAGCCTTCTTTTCTCCCCCAGACAGGCTTGGGAAGGAAAAGGAGGTTGAATGGCTGCTTACTAAAAAGAGGGGCTGGAAGAATAAGAATTTAAATGAAAGGCTTTGCATAATTTGGGGCACCTTGACGAGGGGCTGGGATCCCACGGGGCAGCTTCAGATACTGAGAGGTGCGGAATGCATACAGGCCCCACCAGCTACAGTCCTGGTGAGATGAAACTGAGATTTCCAGACTGATCATAGACAATAAAACACAAAGCATCACCCTGGCAGAAACCAAAGTGGAGAGACCGTGGTTCAAAACTCTCCCACCCAGAGCAGAAAGCAGGGAACAGCCCTACTGACCTCACTTGTTCAAGAGAAAGCAAGCTTCAGAGAAAAAAAAAAAAAAGCTTTGAAGATACATCGCCCAAGAATCCCCTCAAACCAAAGACGGTTTCCTAAAAACATTTCCAGATTCCCAAGAGACAGAAATGACAATAAATTCTAGAGCAGTTTGCTCTCACCAAAGAAAATGCCACCCTGCTCTTAAGACACCTGGTGTTTGCCCATCAACATAGCTGGAGAGACCCACTAACAAAGACAGACGGAGAAGAAAGATTACTTCTAAATATTTCAATAAAACAGCATATGAGGAGAAACCTTGAGAAACAACAGCTCAACAATGGTGTGAAATGGGCAAATCCCCCTTCAGCATACTCACTGCTAGTGTCTTCAAAGTGCTGATTTCATCTACTAAGGGGTTCATCGAGCACCCCTAAATATTTATCAGCTGTTCAGAGATACAGTTTTGGATCAGGTCTTGCTTCATGCTGACACCCTTGCCAGGTTTGATGCCTGCCAAGTTTGTATGGAAATGCATTCTTTCTCTTTCCCAAGACCAAGGGGGATGTGCTCCATTCTCAAAGGCAACACATACATTATCTTTAAGCTCCATTACTCCGACTTTAAGAACACAGTAAAACCTAATGAAAAGCCCAGTCCGCACTGTATCAGAGCGCCTCTTACGGTCGTTTACGGCAAAAGTGACTGGTGGTTGGTTTGCTAATTGGACGTCCTTGGTTATCTTATCCCCCAAACAAAGCATTTAAAGAAACCCGAAAGACAATTCCAAACCCATTAAAGGCATGCCCAAGCCTCGGCCAATGACTGAGATCCAACATTAAATCCTAAACTTGCATGAAACATGATGAGAAATCTTGTGATATTTTCGCTGTTTTTTTCATTAACTTAAATGTGTAATTCTTGAGTGTGAACTTTTTAGATGATACAGTCGTGCCACAATGACAGAAGCCTGGACGACCCTGGACCACCCACCACTGGTCTTTGTACCTGGGCATCCATTAGGAGGTGTCTCATCAGTATCATAGAGTTCTTCAGTGTCTCTTTCTCGGTGGGTAGAAAAGGGTCATCGTCTTCCTCCAGTGCCTTCGACTTGGTGACAATGAAATGGGAAATCTGGTCATTTAGGGTGTGCAGTGACTGCACAGCTGTGAAAAGACAAAGAAGGAAATGGGAAAATGGTAGTTAACTGTGTGTGTGTGTGTGTGTGTGTGCGCGCGCGCGCGCGCGCGCACGCACGCACACACACACACACACACACACACACACACTTCCCAGAGAGTATTTCCAACTTCCCAGTTCTGGGATGCCAAGTGGTCACCACCAAACCCAGCTTTAGTTCTAGATTTAACGTGGTGTGACCGTCAGCTTTAATTGTCAGCCTGAGACCTGGGAGGAGAGTCTCAATGAGGGACCGGCTGCACTGTGAGCATTGTCTGCACATAGACCGTTGCTCTGTGAGTGATTGTCTTAAGCTAACTGAAGTGGGATGACCCATCTCCCTGTGGGTGAAGCCATTTCCTAGCCAGGAAGTCCTGAGCTGAATAAGAGCACAAGCAAGCAGGAGAGCATACATGTGGTCATGTCTCTCTGCTCTTGACTGTGGGTGTGGCGTGACTAGCTATTGGAAGGTCTTGCCTTGATTTCCCCCACGGGGATGGATGGTAGCCTGGAATTCCAATCTGTACTCAACCCTATTCTCCTTTAAGTTACTTTCTGTCAAGGTATTTCATTATACCCATAGAAATGAGTCTAAGACACACGGACCCTGGGGGTTAAACCCAGGTCCTCATATTTGCAAAGCAAACAATTTCATGACTGAGCCATCTCACTGGTAATTTCTAGTGAGAAACTAACTGATCCATCATTCTCAAAGGGAAAGCAAGGGTCCACACCCAGGGGACCAACCAGGTGAGTGCCGAGAACCTGGGTTTCTTGAATAATTTAACAGTTAGGTTGTGTCTGATGAACACTATCTAAATACTTATCCTAAACTCTATGAGTCTTTGAAGACACATTTACTAGCAAAATCAGATGTGAAACTCACTTCATGGAGCACCCAGTTGTCCCAGAGAAGCATAACAGGTTAGAGTTAGCTGTGCACTATGGATGTGACTTTCTGGTCAATATACATAAGCCATAGATCAACAGGGTACCAGGCTGTGGCCCGGCCCTATGCTCGATTTACATTTATGATAATGCAGGTGGCCATTTCCTCCCTAAGCAGATGGCCTTTGCCATTAAAGCTTGTGAAGGGGCAGTGTCCATGTTTTCCCATCAGTGCCACAAGTAGGCTGGAAAGGCTATAATTTCTCTGTCATTCCCACACAACTTACCATCTGACAGTTTAAGATTTGACTCATTTATTATTATGGCTGTCTCTTTCTCTACTATCCATGTAAGTAACAGCATAGGTGGGTGTGAGCGTGTGTGAGCCTACGTGTGTGTGTGTGTGTGTGTGTGTGTGTGTGTATGGATATGGGTATGAGCTTGTGTTGTGTGGATATGAGTGTGTGTGTGTGTTTGAATGTCTGTGTGTCTAGGCATGGGAGACTGCACATGAATGTTCATGCATGCATGTATGTGTATGAGAGAGAATGTGGGTTGTGTAGGCCAGAGGTTGGTCTTAGATATTGTCCTTAGTTTCTCCATGTTTTCCTTTTTGAGACAGGCTCTCTCACTGAATGTGAAGCTCATTGCAGCAAGACCAGCTGGCCCCATGGGTCCCCCTGTATCCGCTTCCACAGTGCTACAGTGACCAGCATGTGTCATCATGCCTGGTTTTGTGTGGGTGCAGGAAATCTGAATTCGGGTCCTCATGCTAGCCTGGCAAACACATTCACCAAACCAGTTCCCAGCCCTCAGAGGTAGTTTTTAATCTGCTTTCTGCTCTGCCTCAAACACTTGGAATAGCAGAGCTCAATAATCATTGTTGAACTAATTCCTTTACCTTTCCTTAAATTCAAATCCCTTTTCTTATAGAATAGTCTATAGGTTTTTCAGGAAAACCTGCACTTATTAAGCCAACAAAGAACAATTCCTGGGCATTTTCAGTAAAGCTACCACATGACCACGATTCTGAAATCCTCCAGGGTCCTGGAAATCATCTGTCAATTCCAACACAAAGTAACAGGGCTTGGGAGACTGTGCTTCTGGCCAAAGGTAGTGATAGTCATTGACCAGCCTCTCGTGTAAATAGCTAGGAAGCCTGGTGGTTTTCTACACAGCTGTGTTACACAGACAGGTGGGGGTCTGTAGCCCTTGAAATGGTAGGGAGACTGAGTGGATCTTGTTATTTGCATGCCGTTGACATGTGCAACTCTCTATCCCACATACGCAAATAAATATAGTTTAAATTTTTAAAGCAAATGTATTCTTATATATATATACATACATGTTACATGTTTATATATATAGTATATGTATATTTTATATATTCTTTCATATATATGTTCACACACATCTCATTCTGTTGAGAAATGGAGGCTCACACTCCCTGTGAGCCTATCTGGCCTCAGTGACAGAAGTCTTTCTATGACTTCTATGTCCAGCTCATAAAAGGTCTGAAGTCCCTGGGCATGTTTACTCTGTTTAAAGCTAGTGGCCATGTAAGATACTTTTCATTGTTGATATTGATTGTCGAGTTCTGGGATCTAGAATCAACCAGGAGACCCCTGGGCATGTCTTTAAGGGAGTTTCTAGATTGGGTTCATTGAGGTGGGAGGACCTGAATGTGGGTGGAACCATTCCATGAACTGGGGTCCCAGATAATGTAAAAAGGAAAAAAAAAAAAAAACAGATTGAATACCAGTGTCCAACTCTGCCTCCTGACTGCAGATGCAGCGTGACCACCCATCTCATGTCCTTGCTGCTGTGTCTTTCCCACCGTGATATGCTCTACTCATAAGTGTGAGACAGAGGAAGTCATTCCCACCTCATGTTTCTCTTGTCAGGGATTGTGTCAAAGCAACAAAGAACTAACGTAACATTGAGCAATCAGAGACCGTATTTCTTTAAGGAACGCCCAAGCACAGACTGCATGGAGAGAGGGAGAGATGTTCAGGCAACTGAATCTTTCTGCCCATCCACCCATCTATTCATCCATCCATCCCACTCATCTACCTACCCATCTACCATTCATTTAATCATCCATCAGCCCATTCAACTATCCATCCACTTACACATCCACCCATCTACCAATCCATCCACCCACCCACACATCCTGTCATCTACCCATCCATCCACCCATCCATACATCCTTCTATCTACCCATCCATCCATCCATCCATGCATCCATCCACCCACCCACCCATCCATCCACCCACCCATCCATCCACCTACCCATCCACCTACCTACCTATTCATCTACCCACCTACCCATTCTACCACCACCTATCCATTTATCCCAGGTTCCCAGATAGGTAGGTGGAAAACTGTCTGGCAGGACTGCATAAATAGCTCAGTGGTTAAAAGAACTTGTTGACTTTGCAAAGAATCTGAATTTAGCTTCTAGCATCCATGTCTAACTGTTCAAAACTGTCTGTAACGCTAGCTCCAGGGGATCTGATGCCCTCTTCTGGCCTCTATAAGTAGGCATACACATGTAACAGACAGTCACAGAGGCACAATACAAACAAAGAAAAACAAATGAAGGGAGCAGACATCTAGAACATTCTGATGAAAGAAGATACATCAAAAAGAAGAAGGTAAGGAATTCTTATTCATGATCATGAAGAATTCATATGCATATTCCATATGTTAAGTCTCATCTACCTGCCTCTTCCTTGTCACCCCAAGTACAGCCCTGTCCCTAGAGAGCAGAACTGAGCTGTGTCTCCATCTCCTATCCCAGTCCATGGCTCACAAAGCTGAGAGACAGCTACATACTGCTTAGTATAGCTCAGTTTGGGGTGTTTTGTTATGTAGCAACAGGTAACTGCAAACTGTAACTCACCAGAAGCTAACAATTCCACGGGGACAGGTCGTGTTTTCTCGGTTCATCACAGTGTGTCTTTGTTGCTTTTCTATTGCCTTGACAAAGCACCATGACCAAGACAACTTATAAAAGAAAGTATTTAATTTGGGAATCACAGTTCCAGACAAGCTAGATTCCATGACCACCATGGCAGAAAGCATGACAGCAACCCCAGCAGGCATGGAGCTGGAGCATTAGCAGAGAGTGCACATCTTGGTCTCCCAGCATGAGGCACCTCCCTCGGCAAGGCCACACCTCCTAATCCTCCCCAAACAGTTTCACATATGTGGACCGAGATTCCTATATTTGAGCCCATGGAGACCATTCTCATCCAAACCACCACACCCTGGCACTAGCATTATTCACTGCATATAAGAAGAAATGAATAGAGGCATGAAAGAGAAAGGTCACGGCACACCATTCTCTGTCCCCACCCCTTCCTCATCATCATAGAACTGGGAAGCCATACACATTGTTCTCTGTTTGCCCCATAAAACCCTCAACTAAATAAAGCTGTTCTTAAAACGCATGATGGATTAGAGATGAGAGAGCCACAGACACCATTCCTCCCTACCTGAGGTGAGGAAATGAGGTCATAAAACCCAGTTGACTCGGTTGATTATATTGAATGTGAAATGACACTCAATCTGCTGTGTGCTATCTTGGTCCACAAATCTGCGAAGACACACTTCTTAAGCAGCTTATTTATCTGAAGTGTTGTCTGAATCTCCCTGAACATTAATGAGTACTTATTTAGACTTCTAATAACGATGGCACGTTCACAGCTTGGTAGAAGGGAAATAATGCCAAGTCTCGACATTCTGTGTCATTAAAAAAAATAGAAGACATGCGTAAAATTTCCTAATGCATTCAGAAGCACCCCACTTCTGCCTTTATGGGTCAGATGGCGCACAGAATACGATGCAATAGTGATATGACCTCAGTTGCTCATTTTACGCAGATGGGTCCAGATGTCATTGAGATGGGCTACTGTACTATTTTTATAGGAAAAAATGACCAATGAATCATATCATGGGGCAGAGCCACTAGCAGCTCCATGGATTTTATGATCTTGTTATTTATATGGTCCATAGATACGAACTAATGACCAAATTTATCCCCACGTGTTAAACAACCTTTGCTTTTCGCAAATCTCAAAAGCTATGATGTATT